ATTGCTCCAGCATGCTGCATAGTATTCCATTGTGTGAATGTACCATGATTTCTTCATCCATTCCATTGTGGTTGGGCATTTGGGCTGTTTCCATGTTCTTGCGATAGTGAATAACGCTACTGTGAACACTTGTGTACAAGTCTCTGTTTGTGCCTCAGTTCACATTCTCTCAGGGTATATTCCAAGCAGTGGAACAGCTGGGCCATATGGAATTTCTGTGTTCAGCTTTTTGAGGAAATGTGTTGCATTACTTTTGCTCTCTGTGTATTGCTGTTTTGTACCTAAGAGTCGGAAGCAACCCATAGCTGACCCTCTGATGGGTTTTCAGAGGCATGGGAGATTGTCCATCCTTCTCCTTCAGAGCAGCTGGTAGATTTGAACTGTCTGCCTTTGGGTCAGCAGTGCAACTCCTTACCCACTAGGCCACCAGAACTCCATATATGAAGGCAAAAATTGTCTTTTTAAAAAACTGACTCCTTTATTTTTTTTCTCATTCATAGACATTGTATTTCACACATTCCTTCATTCACACTGTATTTCATACTCTCATTCCCTGTGATATTATAAAATTTATCACCATTGCTTTTAATTCAGATCTTCTTTATCATACATTAAAGTTTCACCCATAAGGCCCATTATGTCTTTTGGTCATCGCCTGTGTTGTAAAATCTTTTTCTGTTATCTTCTACTCAGTGATGAATGACATAGGAGATTGCTGAAGGCCAGAGCTGTATCTGACAGCACTCTCTGTTCAAGCCTGGTCTCAGGGCTCCTGGAGCTGTGATTGCTCCATGACAGGTTCTCAGCTTCCTTCACTTTTGCCCCATGGACTGTTCTGAGTCACCCCCTCCCATCAGGCTGCCCTGGGTTCTCCTCAAGTGAGAAAGGACTCTCTCATCCTCCTATGTGGGACCCACAGGAGGTAGAAAGACCCAGGGATCTGTGCGTGGGGCCCTCTGGAGGAGGGGAGATGGTGTCCCACCCTCTCCTGTTTCACCTGGCAGTGGGAGGAGGACCCACTGGGGCCAGAGGAGGAGCAGCTCTGGCTGGGGCCTGGGAGCTAGTGACTGAGCTGCTTGGCAACCCAGGGCCACGGCAGCAGCCTGGCAGTACAGGAACAAGGGGACTAACAAGGTGGCCCTCCCTCACGTAGGGAGTGGTGTGCCCTGCCCTGTTCCCACACACCAGGAGCTAAGAGACAAGGGCGGGGGAGGTGGCATCCAAATGGCCAAACCACTGTGCTTTTGGGGGAGGGGCAGATCTTGGGCCAAGACCTGAGGTATCAGGGCAGCCCCTGGTAGAGTCTACCCGCTTGCTAGCTTTTAATGTGGTGCTGAATTAGACCTCCAGACAACCTGGGACCCAGACCACTGGGCCCCTGAAGTAGGTCTTTGACATGCCTCCTCCCAGCATCAAATTGCCCAATAAACTAGATAAGCACAGGCATTATTTGTTTAGCAATCAAGTCACATGCTTCCCATCACATCTTTGATGAAACTCATGTAAAATTGTCCACTAATTTGCCCTAGCCTGCTCTGCTAGCAATCAATGTCTTATTGCCTCATGGACAGTGGCTGGGCGGCCTGTGTCCAAGCTGCACTGTCCACCACAGACCAGGAAGGTGATGGGAGAGACTACAAATCCATGGTTTATGGTCACTGCCCAGTAATGGTGTTAGGAAGAGGTCCACTCCAGTGTTGATGGCCCTCAGGCCAAGTGGAGGCCCAGTACACCTGCCCTGGTCCCTGTCTCCCAGTGGACCCCTGAAAGCACCTCACACAATGATGTTTTCCTTTTTATTTATTTTTTTATAAAAACCAAACCAGTCCTGGAGTAGAAAGAAAAATCCTTTGATGGACTTTCAGGATCCAAACTCAAGTACAGTAGGTAGGGCTGGAGTGGGGGTGCTGGGGGGAGGGGAGGGTGGTGGCCAGAGCCTGGGGAAGGGGATATGAGGAGAGGGCAGCAGGGCTGGGAGGGAGGGCCAAACTCTGAAGGAAGCCCTGCCTTCATCATTTCCACTTTCACATACCATAGAAAGTTAAGCAAAATAGCTATTTTATACTCTTTTATATATTGTATATGTATATATGTATATAAATTAGGCAAATAAAGGGTCCAGGGGCACCGAGACGGGGTGCCCCCGAGCAGCCTGAGGCCGAGGTGGGAAGCTGGGGCTCCACTGCTGGGGGTTACCAGCCCAGGCCGAGCGTGTTCATTATTGCTGTGTGGGACCTGGGTCTGGGTGGGGGAGCACCAGCAGGTCCTGCCTCCAGCCCCCTCGGGTCAGGCAAGGGCTGCTGTCCTCAAATCCACCACTCGGTCCCCTCAGCATCTCGGCTTCCACTCCTCCCCCACCTCGGATACTTTGGGGGTGCGTAGCTCCAAGGACTCCTATGCTGTCTGGGGCCAGGCCCCCCTTTTTCTGTTCAGTTCTCTGGGGCCCTGTGCTCCTGGCAGCTCAGCTACAAACAGGCCTTGCTATGTTGAGCTACAAAAATCTCCCAACTCTAAGGGGTCTGTCTGGCTTCTTGATCCCTTAAAAAGAGGGGCTCTTGCCAGCACGCTTCGGCGGCAAGAAAGCACACTTGGAAAAGTTGTCTGCTAAGTGTCGTACTAAAAATATGTTACTAAATGTCATGGCTGGAAAGAAATGGAGATTTTTTTTCTCTCTTATTTTTTTTTTTTAAAAAAAGGTCAAAAAAGAGGCTCCCTGGGAGAGGGAGGGTGGTCCTCCCGGGTTGGGCTGGTGTCGAGGCGCCCTCGCCCGGCCTGAGTTGCAATGACTGGGCCGCTAGGGTCCCCGTTGGGCCACAAGTCCTTGAGGAGAGGGGTAAGGGGTGACCCGGTGCACCTGGAGGCTGGAGAAAACCCGGGCCGGTACTTCCTCCTTCAGAGGAGTATTAAAAAAAAAGAAAAGAAAAGAAAATGTAGCGGGAAGAGGAGGGAGAAGGGCCTTCCTAACTAAACTGAGAGTATTAAAGCAAGGAGCCTGTATTTGGGGGTGGGAGGAGGTGGCGCTCAGAAGATGTTGGGGCACATGTGCCAGTCCTGCCTCTCCTTGGCCTCCCAGTAGCCGCCCTTGTACATGCAGGCCGTCTCCCCGGTCAGCGGGTCCAGCCTCTTCTCAAACCACAGTGGCGTGTGCACTTCCGCCTCCTTCTCTGCTGGGCAGGAAAGCGGGCCGGTGGGCAGGCAGCTGGTCAGGCCTTGGTGGGGGACACACACACCCTCCCTCAGGGTACCCCTTCTTCAGGGCATCCCTCCCTCCCCCACTTCCTCTCCCAGGCACACACCTCGCCTCCACCTCCTTCCCACCCTTCCTCCTTTGGGGGTACAACCTTGCCACAGGGGCGCTACTTCATCGCCCGTCTGCTCCTCCCTCTCCCCCTGCAGCCCCTCCCCTCCCCCGTACCCCCACCCCGTCATCTTCCCCTTCACTCCTCCTCTCGGCCCCCTCCCCGCCGGCCTCACCCTCCTCAGCGCCTCGCGCGCTGGCCTCCAGCCTGCGGCGCCTTGTCAGTCGCTGCTTCTCCTCCAGCCGCTGCTTCTCGGTGTTGGCCTCGTCCCAGCGTCCCTTCTCCATAAGCCGCTGGTCCGGCCGCAGGCGGCTGTCGGTGGGCGCCACGCCTTCCTCGTGCTCGTTCAAGGTCAACGCCAGCTCAGAGAAGTAATACATGTTCTCCGCATTCTCCCTGCAGGGGGCGCTGGGTGAGCCTCCCTGCAGCCGAGCCCGCACATTCCGGCGGCTCCCCTGGGCCCAGCTCAGCCGCCCACTGTGCTGCCCTGCCTGTCTGCGAAGCCACCCTTCTCTGGAGAATTACCGCTTCATCCAAATATATCCCCATAACCTTGTTTCCTAATTGTTGGCGTCAAGTACGCCTCTTAGCGACCCTATGAACGAAAGATCTGAACCCTGTTCTATCCTGCGCCATCCTCACACTTCCCGACACACTGGAGCCCATTGCAGCAGTCACTGAATCAATACACCCGGTGAAGGGTCTTTCTCTCCTTTGCCGACTCTCCACCCTTCCCAGCATCCGGTGAAGGGTCTTTCTCTCCTTTGCCGACTCTCCACCCTTCCCAGCATCATGTCCTCCAAGGAATGTACTTCCTAGCAACATGTCCAAAGGCAAAATCTCATCATTCTGCCTCCAAAGAGTACTCTGGCTGTACCCTCTCCAAGACACATCTGTGTCTTCTCTTGGCCGTCCGTGGGATGTTCAGGGTTCGTCTCTAACACCACAGCTCAAAGGCATCAATTCTTCTGTCATCCTTATTCACTGTCCAGCTCTCAGATGCATAGCAAGTGATCAGAAAGACTTGGCCTGAATCAGATGCACCTTAGTCCTCAAACTGACATCATTACTCAATAATTTGAAGAGATCTCTAACTACAGATTGTCCTAATAGCCTCATTATAGTACTTAAATGTCTCTGACAGACCAAGGCCCTGTTAGCATCTGTTGGTTCCACCTCACCTTCTATTTTGAACTGTTTATTTAAACTTGCCTTGACCTCTCTATTGTATGTTTCCTGCTTTACAGATTTGAGCTTTATATCTCCCTTTTACTTTGCTGAGGTTTATTTTGCTGTTAAGACAGGCACAGTTCCTTTTCACCTTTTCTTTATCTATCTATCTATTTAACAATTTTGAGTTTTGTTCCACATTTTGCACCCACTCGATCCAGATTTCTATGGTGACACTTTTAGAGCAATGGTAGCTGGGCACCTCTATCTAGTTCTGGTTTCAAAAGTCATGGAGGTTGAGGTCGGCCTGGTCCGACAGCCCTGTGTGCTAACTGCTTCTATACATCTTTGCTTTTCTTCCTTTTGTGTTCTGGACAGGGCAAGGCCACAGTTTCAGCATAAGTGGCTGATTACAGGGTTTCTTTGTAGACTATGTGATGCAACGGACAGATGTCCCCAGAGCCTATGATTCCTGAGACTCTAGAACCAGCAACTCAGGATGATGGGTTATCATTCAGCAGTTTATATAACTCTGCCCCCTGGTGGCTCTGCTGGTACATATGATTATCTTTACAGTATATACTAACAGCAATGTAGAAATACGATCCAGTACGCCTGTGTATAGACACAGGCATAGCCCCTTTGCCTGTCTTGACTTGTTCATCTGGCCTGTGTGCCTACATATTCACTTATAGAAGAATGAATAGTATTGATGATGTTGCAGAACTGTATTTATAATAAGGTTTACTTATGTTGACTGTCTTTCACATGCATTTCTCTCTGTGTCTTCCCTCTCTATTAATAATATTCTGAGAATCCTGTCTTACGGGAGCTCCGGTAGCTTAGTGGTAAGGAGCTCTGCTGCCAACCCAAAGGCATGCAGTTTGAATCCACCATCTGCTCAATGGGGGAAAGATGGGCAACCTCCTCCCATGTGATTTACTGCTTTAGAAATCTTCCAGAGGGTCAGCTATGAGCCTGATGCAGCTCAACAGTACACAACTACGTAACGATTGGCTGAGTGGTAAGGAGGTGCACTGCAAAACAAAGGCATACAATTTGAATCACTCTGTGGGAGACAGATGGGCCGTCTCCTCTTGTGCAGTTTATAGCCTGGAAATCACTGGAAGGCCAGCTATGAGTCAGTTCCAACTTGACAGCACAAAACTAACCACCACCTCTTATTTGTTTACCTTTTTATAATAGTGGGGCTCATACAAGTATTTGGCCTTTGTGACTAACTTGTTTTATTTAGTTTAGTGGTAAGGAGTTGCACTGCCAAGCCAAAGGTACATGGTTCAAAGCCACCAGCTGCTCTGTGGGAGAAGGATGGGTGATCTCCTCCTGTGTGATTTATTGTCTTTGAAAATCTGCTGAAGGGTCAGCTATGAGTTGGTGCGGACTCAATGGTACATAACAACAAGAAAGTCCTGAAGGAGCCCTGGTGGCCCTAGTGGTAAGGGGTTGCACTGCCAACCCAAAGGCACTCGGTTTGAGTCTACCAGTTGCCCCATGGAAGAAAGATGGGCAGTCTCTTCCAATATGAGCTGTTGCTATTAACGTTTTAGGTGCTGTCACGTTAACCATGACCTGTAATGACCTCATGAACAGCAGTTCGGTACCCTGCTCTGTCCTAAGCCATCCTCATCTTCGCAGTACTTGAGCCCACTGTTATAGTCAATGTGTCTGTCCATCTAATTGAAAATCTTCCTCCCTTTCACTGACCCTCTACCTTTCCAAGCATGATGTCTTTTCCAAGGACTGACCCTTCCTAACAACATGCTCAAAATACAAGAGGTGAAGTTTCACCATTCTTGCCTCTGAGAAGAATCCTGGTTATCCTTTCTCTAAGATAGATCTACTGTTTGTTTTATTGCAAGTCCATGGGATATTCAGTACTCTTCTCCAACACTACTACAGCTCAAATGCATTTATTCTTCTATCATCTTCATTCATTGTCCAACTTTAAGATGCACAGCAAGTAACAGAAAAGATCACAGATTGGATCAAGTGCACCTTAGTCTTTAAACTGACATCATTGCTCCTCAGAATTTTGGAGAGGATTTTGACGAACAGATTTTCCCAGTGCAATACATCTTTTTATTTTGAAGGTGGTGGTGTTACGGATCTAAGCAAGATGGAATCATTGACAATTTTTATTCCTTTTTTCCATCTATCATGATGTTGCTTTTCAGCCCAGTGGCGAAGATTTTTGTTTTCTTGATTATGAGGTATAATCCATACTGAAAGCTGTAGTCTTTGATCTTCTGCAGCAAGCACTTCAGGTCCCTTTCACTTTGTGAGCAACAGGTTGTTGATCAGTCTTCTACCGATCCTGATGAAATTCCCCTTCGCAATATAATTTGTTGGGTTCCACACAGTCAAATGCCTTTGCACAATCAAGAAAAGACTTTCTCCTTCTAGTATTCTGTCAAGATCCACCTGACATCAGCAGTGTTATCTCTGGTGCCATGACCTCTTCTGAATACAACTTGAATTCAGTGGTTCTCTTAGATGTACTTACTGTTCTAGCCAGTTTTGGATAATCTTCAGCAAGATTTTGCTTATATATCATATTAATTATATTGTCAGATAACTTCCACATTCTGCTGGATTTTTTTTTAAATTAGAACAAATATAGATCATATCTTCTAGTCATTCGGCTAGGTAGCTGTCTTCCGGATTTCTTGGCACAGTCTAGTGACACGACCAGGGTTGCACCTGTTTGTTGAAAGATGCCAACTGGAATTCTGTCTGTTTTGGGTGCCTTCTGTTTTGCCAATGCCTTCAGTGAGCTTGAACAACTTCCTTCATTGTCATTGGTTCTCGATCATACATGGCATCCTGACATGTTTCCATGTCAGCCAGTTTTGCTGGGTACAGTGATTCATGTATTCCTCCTATTGTCTTTTGATGCTCTCTTGATCATCCAGGATTTTATCCATAACATTCTTCAGTATTGCAACTTGAGGTTTGAATTTGTTCTTTCATCTTGAGAAATGCCAAGCAAGTTCTTCCATTTTGATTTTCAGGCTCCAGCTCTTTGTACATTTCTTTATAATACTTTGCTTTGTTTTATCAAATTGCTCTTTGGAATTTTCAGTTCTCCTACTTCACTATTTCTTCATTTTGTTTTGGCTTCCTGACCTTCTAGTGCAATTTTCAGAGTCTCTTCTGACATCAGTTTTGGTCTTTTCTTTCTCCCCTGTCTTTATAATGACCTTTTGCTTTCTTCATGGATGATGCCCTTGATGTCATCACATAGCTCATCTGGTCTTTGATCATTAGTGTTCAGTGCCATAGTCATTACCATAATGGTTACCCATCATGGACAGTGTTTGAGGAGCTTCCAGATTGATTCAGGTTTGGAAACAGGAATGGCATCCACTTCCTAAAACAGATGCCTCTATAATCTCTATAATCATACAAAAATCATGTTAATTAGAAAACAGAGCTCAGGTCTTTTGTTCATACGGTATTCAACTTGAAGACACTTAACCACTGTTAAGGGAGACTAGTGTTGTCATATTTGGAGGCACATTCTACTCTGTACATCACTTGAAGTCAATTTGCTGTATTGAGGTAAAATCTGGGTTTGCTGTGATGCTGAACCTTGTGCCATTGGGGTATCAAATACCCTAATGGTCTCCCAGTGCAGACAGTGTTTAGTGGAACTCCCTGGGTAGGTAGGTGACACTGCTGTCCACTTCCCCATGTTTTGCCTCTCAATTTCAGTGAATGAATGGAAATCCAAGTTTTCTGTAAACTTTCGTTAAAATATCTATTGTTGTTGTTGTTGTTATGTTCCGTCGAGTCACTTGTGACTCATAGCGACCCTATGTACAAGAGCCCTAAATGTTGCTCTATCCTGTGCCAACCTCACTGTCTCTAACACACTCACTCCCATTGCTCCAATCACCAAATCGATCCATCTCATCAGGGTCTTCCTCTCCTGTGCTGTTCCTCTACTCTTCTCTAAGGACTGGTCCCTCTTTGTAACATGCCCACAGTATGTCAGGCGAAGCTTCAGAATCCTTGACTCCAAGAAGCAACCCAGTTTCACCCTCTCCAGGACAGACCTGTTTATTCTCCTGCCAGTCCATGGTATATTCAACACTCTTCTCCAGCACCACAGCTCAAAGGCATCAATTCTCTTTCTATCATCCCTAGTCACTGTCCAGCTCTCCAATGCATAGCATGCAATTGTGAAGATTATGGCCAGGAGCAGGTGCACCTTAGTCTCCAGCCTGATGTCACTGCTCTTCAGTACTCTGGAGAGGTCTCTGACAGCTTACTTTCCCAATGCAATTCATCTTCTGATTTCCTGGCTGCTGGTACCAAGAGTGTTGACTGTGGAGCCAAGCAAACTAAAACTGTTAACAATCTCAGTCTCTTCACCATCTGTAATGATGCTGCCAATAGGCCCAGTGGTGAGAATCTTTGTTTTCTTGATGTTGAGCTTTAATCCATATTGGAGGCTGCAGTCCTTGACCCTCTGCAGCAAGTGCTTCATGTCCTCCTCAGTTTCAGCAAGCAGGGTTGTGTCATCTGCATAACGCAGGTTGTTGATGGATCTTCCACCAATCCTGGCACCACATTCTTCCTCGTACTACCCAGCCTCATTTCTTCTGATCTGCGTTCAGTTGATGATTCTATTCTCTCTTCGACTGTCATCAGTCTCTGAAACCTCTCCTTGCAGGGCTTGAGGTACTCTTTCACATTTCACGTGTTGAATTTCTATTTTCTTTCTTTAGAATCCAGTAAGCTGCTTTTGACTGATTTTTTGATTCCTACGGTTTCTTTCCGAGTTCTGTGCCCACAACCTGTTTCACAATGCTGCACGGTGCCATTCACCACCAGGCCACCCTGAGTTCACACGGATTGTCCCTTTCTGTCCCTTGGGAACACAGGGCTTTTGGCATGTCCAACATCTGAGGCCAGAATCTTCCACTGTCCTGCACATCTACTGCTCAGGGGCCTCCCCTGGTCCCCTTCCCTGTCCTGCCTGCCCCCACCCGCCGCCCGTCTCCCCCGTCAGGCACTCACGGGAGTGGGTACTTCTTCCACAGCACCTTGGAGGGCAGGGTCTGGTACACTGTCTTCTGTTTGCCGTCTAAGCTGGGGCTGCTAGAGCTGCTGTGCACGACCTTGGCACATTCCATCTGCTCGTCCCATGAGCCGGACAGCACGTAGTGGGCCTTACCATGGTTGTCGCTCACCACGCCGGTCACCTGTGGACACAGCAGGGCCAGCCTTGGCATGTGCCCTGTCCCCAGCCCCCCAGGCTTTGAGGGGCACCTCCTGCCTACCTTCCGGGCAGCCTCTTTGGAAAAGTAGCTGTAGGGCAGGAACTTCAGCTGGCAGCGGTCCTTGGTCTTGTGGTTCACAATCTCAATGTCCCCGGTCTGGTGAGTGAGGAGAGTGGTGAGCTGCCGGTCTGTGGGGCCCCACGTTCCCTCCCTGCGGGCGCCCCCTGACCTGGTCAATCCAGAGCTTGCCCACGATGATATTATGCACGGTTGAGGTGCTCTTTCTCCACACGTAGTGATTCCCGCTGGCCTGGAACTCTAAGTGGATGGCACCTGGGGGCCAGAAGGGGGGCAAAGGTCAGGGCCACCACTGAAGGGCCAGCTCAGTGCCCCTGAGTGACATACTCGAGTCTAGAGCTGTCCTTAAACAGGTGGTGGGTAGGGGCAGGGTATAGTGGGAGTTCAATCTTGGGGGAGGGAGCCCTGGTGGCCAAGTGGCAAGAAGGTGCAGTTCAATCCTGAAGGTGCACAGTTCGAATCCACCAGCTGCTCTGCGGGAGAAGGATAGACCATTTCCTCCCATGCGATTAACTGCTTCTGAAAACCCACTGGAGGTCAGCTATGGATCGTATTCAACGTGACAATACACAACACACAGCCTTGGGGGAAGGGAGCGAATCTTTGAGACAGTATGGTCTCCGAAAGCCCCAACTGCCTAATGGTTAGTACCATCTCCCCTTCCTCCCTCCCCCGACCTCTAGAATGTGCCCGCTCTGGGGACTCACAGACCCGACTCACCTAAGGGCATGATGGAGAGGTATTTCCCCCGGAACTTGCTGGAGATGGTGATCTCCTGCCACAGACTCCAGCCGTTCTTGGAGAAGACGTAGTGTGCGGCCGAGGGTGGGTGGTGACTCACCTGGGCCAGACCCCCCGGGTGAGTACCTGCCCGGCCAGGTGGGAGAGCCTGCCCCATCCCTGTCCCCCACCCCCGTTCTCTGCACAGCTCTCAGGCCTGGCGTCCTCCTCTGAGGACAGTGCCCGTGGTCCTGCTGGGAGGGGGACGAGCGCCTGGTGTCTCTGAACCCAGGCTTTGGGGCTGTACTATGAGGGCCTGTGTGCTGAGGTTAATGAAAAGTTTCACTGCCAAGGCTGCCTTGTTTAATTTTCCCAGGAAGGGACATGTCTGTCGTAGCATGCTAACTGGCCACCTGTGCGGTAGACAGGCCTCCCTCCAGGCCAGCCTAGCTGCCTTGGGCTGGGGGATTGTGGGACCCTCTCAGCAGTCAGGCGCTAGGCTCCCATGCTGCCTCATCACACAGGCTCCGGACAGTTCCCCTCCCCTCCCCCGTCCCCTCACGGCCTCCTCTCTCAGAAGAGCAGCCTGGGCCTCCACCAACAGCGCCCTCACCAGCCAGCTCAAGTGGGGGCTCCCTTCTCAGCCCCACCTTCTGGCCCTTTAGGACGCTCACACTGAACGCTCTGGGTTTGTCCGTGACCGCTCCTCCTCTCTCGCGGTACACATTCGAGTCTTAGCCAAACCTGTCGGCCTCCACCAGGTCAGAATGTGCACCCAGAACCTCCTCCCCAAACCAGGGCCGTCTCGACCACCTCACCCCCTTCCCTGCGGCAGCCATGCGCACAGTGCTAATGGAAAGGTTAGGTCACACAGTTATGGAGCTCTGGGAGCCTAGTGGCAAAAAGCTGTGCTGCAATCCTGAAGGCACGTGGGTTCGAATCCACCAGCTGCTCTGCAGGAGAAGGATGGGCAATCTCCTCTTGTGATTAACTGCCTCTGAAAACCCACTGGAGGGTCAGCAATGGGTTGGTTCTGACTCCACAGTATACAACACACAGAGTTGGCCCCTTGTTCATTAGATCTGGCTCCATAACCACACCTACCTGCATCCCAGCTAGGCCCAGGGCCACTGTTGGTGTGGGGCAGGTCCCAATCAAAGCTTATCAAGTGAATGAGCCCTTAGCACAAAGAACCTTGATCAACCTTGATGCCCCTCCATGCCCACCTACAGCCACGGCCTCTACCAACCTGCTGGCCCCCATTCACACTGACCCCTGGGTGCAGAGGCACCTTCTACCTGGCCTGCTTGCATCTGGCGCAGAGCTGGTGCTCGGTGGTGGCAGAACCTGGCACCTCCAGCCCAGCACCTCTATGTGGTGCCTGCCTGGGTTCTCCTCTCAGCTGGTCCAGCCCAGAGAAGGGCACCAGCAGAACGCCTCCGCATCAGACAAGGAACACTAGGCTACATGTCCATTTCACAGCTAACATCCCCCTCACACCCTGTGGCTACTCCCCACGGAGGCCAGCGGTTTATGCTGATTTCTTTTTTTTTTAAATTTTTGTGTGAGTGTACCATCAAATCAGATCTGACTGGTACAGGAGGAAATTGTCCCTCCTTCCCCGGCAGGGCATCTGGTGGATTCAGACCGTGCGCCTCTGGGATTGTAGTTGCAGCTCCTTGCCACTAGGCCACCAGAGCTCCCCTATGCTGATTTCTTAAAATGCCCCCAAATGGTTGCATCTTCGCTGAGTTCTTAATTAGGTTTGTTTTTCCAGTTCCTAGTCTTAGTGAATAGCTCTGGGGCTGACTGACCCTTGCCTTTTGCTTTTTAGCCCTGCTTGCCGAAGTAGATAAAGGTTTAGCAGAGGATGCTGTCTTTTTTTTCTTCTCGATACTGGAAGCATTTTATTGCAGATCTGGGAGAGCACACAGAAGTCTCTCAAAAATTGCCTCTCAAACGATGCTTATTGGTTTTTACACTAGGGTTAGGTAGTAATCCATTTAATATATTACCATTGCTAGTTAAAAGCTACAGTGTTTTTACATTCAAAAGAATAGTTTACATACAGTTATTAGTAAACAGACAACCTGGGGTATAGTTTACATATGCCTGAGGAAAGAAAATGCTAATTAAGAAGAGATGAATTTCCCCTCCTAGAATTGAAACAGGATTCTGAAGGCCAAGCAAATGTTAGATGATTCAATCAGTTTTGCAGGCTGTAACCCAGGATGTCCGTTTTTAGAGCTATAGTATGTGTTTGTATAATTCTGAGCTTATTAAACCACACTGAGGACGGGTCTTGAGTTATGGAATGCACAGACTGCCGCATAGCCTAGTACTGAGGGCGGTTTAGCCAAGGGCATAAATAATTGGCTACTCCCCCCTTCCACCCTTGGTGGAATCTTCTTGCCCATGAGTCACTGCCGAATCCTTGCAGTACTGCTCCCCTGGTCAGGAAATTTTCCTTTGCTAATAATACACTTGGGGATCTCTGGTGGCTTGGTGGTAGGGAACTGCGCTGGGGGCTCTGAAAGCCCGCTGGAGGGTCAGCTATGGGCTGGTTCTGACTCGATGGTACAAACATTAACAATAAAATTGAAGCTAATGTTTTAGTCTGTCTCTGGGTCAGTGTTTTTTTGTTTTGGGTTTTTTTTTTTGGTCAGTCTGTGAACATTAACCTCTAGGGTGTTCCTTCTGGGGAGCAAACCTCAACAAGCATGAAGAATGAATAGATAGATGCAGGTGAGCCAAGGCCAGGCAGGACCCTCGACCCCAGTGCCCCTCAGAGATGCCACTCTGCAGTCACTGACCAGCCAAGTCCTCTTAACCCACACTGAGTGGGCAGCACCCCCTATCTTCCCATTCATCTGACTCCCAACAGTCCCTGGAAACACCTTCACTTCTGGTCTATGGGCCAGCAGCACATAAATCCCCTTCCTTGCACATTGTTGTTATGTGCAGTCGAGTCGCTTGCGACTCATAGCGACCGTATGTACAACAGCCCTAAACCGTGCTCTATCCTGTGCCAATCACATTGCCTCTGACACACCCATCCCGATTACCCCAGTCACTGAATCAATCCACCTCATAGAGGGTCTTCCCCTCCTGCGTTGTCCCTCTACCCTCCCAAGCATGATGTCCCTCTCCAAGGACCTGTCTCTCCTTACAACATGTCCAAAGTATGCCAGACGAAGCCCCAGAATCCTTGTCTCCAAGGAGTAGCCTGGTTTAACCCTCTCTAGGATGGATCTGTTTGTTTTCTTGGCAGTCCATGGAACATTCAACACTCTTCTCCAGCACCACAGCTCAAAGGCGTCAATTCTCCTTCTATCCTCCCCAGTCACTGTCCAACTCTCCGGTGCATAACAAGTGATTGCAAAGACCATGGCCTGTATCAGGCACACCTTAGTCTCCAGAGAGACACCGTTGCTCTTGAGTACTTTAGGCTCTGCTAAAACGACTGAACAGACCCTTCTTTGACCACAGTCAAGGTCACAGACCACACCCATCTCCCTCCCTCTGTTCCTTGGGAGCAGCCTGGCTGCAGCTCAGTAGACACAGCCCACGCCAGCCCTGCAGGGAGCTCAGGCCTCACCTGCTCACACAGGGAACGCAGGCCCATTTCGTCCAGGCGGTCCAGCTCGAATGTCTCGCCCAGCATGGGGTTGAAGGGCTTGGCGATGCGGTGGACGGTGGTGGAGTAGGAAGACACGGAGAAGGCAGCCACCAGGCACATCTGCTCCACGGAGTTGGTGCAGTTGACTGCCTTGTCCAGCAGGTGGTGGTATTCCAGGTCCTCAGTCAGTCGCTGGAGCATGGACAGGGGCTCGTTAAAGTTAACCTGTGGGGACGGTGAGCAGTGGTCAGACGGGCATCCAGTGGGGGTGCCTGGGCAGCCACCCCTAAACTCACCTGAGCCACTTCCTAGGCCCCACTAAGAACGCTGTTCCCTGCTTGTGTCTGCTCATGTTCAGGGACATCCCAGCCAGATGTCACCTTCATGGTAAGGGTCCCTGGTGACTCTGCCTAAAACCAGCTCCTTGGGCTTCCCTGCCAGATGCTCTGGCTCCAGTTTTCTCTAAGCGCTCTCCCTGTCCCGGTGTGTCAGGCATTTCACAGCGGATGTTCTTCCCTGGCCAGGACGGAGGCCGTGAGGGCCTGGTCTCCCACCATTCATTGCTGCTCCTCGGTACCAAGCGTTCTGTTCATGCAGTTTAACGGACTACAGAACGGAGGGGCTGGGCCTTGTGTTTGCTGTGAACTTAGCTATGTTTCTGCATAGGGGTTCAGTGGAGGGGCCAGGGCCCACTCTCTCCTGTGAGGCCGGGCTCCCTGGGCACAGAGGTTTATTTCATCCTCTCAGTGTCTTCGAAGCGGGCACTGTCTACGTCACATTCTGGGGGCGATGTGAAGGGAATCAATCACAGTCACATGGAGAACTAAGCTCGCTCTCCACGGAGGTGCCATCCCTGCCCAGGAGGCTGAGGCCCCACCTCTGCCCTCAGCCTGCTGAGTGACCCCTGACTGCCATCTCACCCTCACTGAGCCCCCACAACCTCAGTGGAGCACAGAGAGGGCTCCCCTCATGTCACCAAGCCCTGATCCCATTACTTCCCATCTTTGGGGAGGCGGCAGAGAGTGGACACTGAGGCCCTGTTGACCCAGAGGGGCCCTGTGGCTCCCCACACATCTGGTCCCCTGACTCCTTCTTTCCAAAGCTGGGGGTGAGCAATAAGTAAAATGACCCCATGGTGCCAGCCAGTCTCCCCGACAGCATGGGGCTCCTACCGGCATGGGGATCTTGGAGAGCTCCCGGCCGATGCAGTTCTTCATGATGCTCCAGAGGTTAAGGCTGTAGTTGGGTTTGTCGGGGATGCGGGATCTCCTCTTGACCTTGGGGGGACCCTTGGGCTCTGGTGAGGCACCATCTAGCACCTGCCAGAGAAGCAGACGTGGCGTCAGTGGTCTTGGGCCTGCCCTCGACCCTGACTGACCATGCATCAGGCCCAGGGGTAGCTCGATCCCCCTATTCTGTTGAGTCTGGAATCTCCTGTGGGGTCTCCTGCCTCACTTACATTGTCTGCAGTGGTCCAGTCATCTGAGGAGACTGCCCCCGTCATGCCCTCAGCTTTCCTACGGGAAACATGAAGAACAGGTTGTGTGGAAACCTCAAAGCCACCCCCACCTTCTCCACGGACCTGCCTGACGTCCGAGGAGTCTGCCTCCAGCCGATTTTGATGGGGAGCCCCCTGCCCTGCAGAACCTGAAGCACTCAGATGGGGGCTGCAGAGCCCAGGGAAGCAACTGGGACCTACGGGCCACATTCAGGGTCTCTGCACAGGCCTCCTGGGGGACCGGCTGCCCCTGGCCCCAGGTGAGCTGGAGGATGCACATTTCCTTTTAGAGGACCTTCCAGAGCCTTCTGTCACAGAGCTGACCCTGGGGTGTGTGTGTGTGTGTGTGTTCGTTCCCTTGGGGCTGGGATTCCTTAAGGGCAGGGCAAGGATCCGGAGCAGCCCTTTGCAGGACCCAAATGGGCTGTAGATGCAGTGGTCTACTGGGCCAGCAGGGGGAAACAAGTTCCGGGCAGCACTGCAGAGAGGAGGCCGCACTGAGGCTTTCAGGAGCCACTAAACAGAACAGGAGTGGTACTGCAGACAAAGGGGCGGCAGGCACAGAGGTGCAGGGCAGGGCTAGACCCTCAAACAGGACCCAAGTGGGACCGGCCTGCTGTCCAGTGTGGCTGCAGCACACAGGAGCAGTGAGGGGGAAAGAGGCAGGGGGTTGGGCAGAGGCCAGGTCAGGTGTCACAGGGGGGTGACAGGTGCTGAGGGTCCCGGGCGTGCTGGCTCCTAGGAAAGTGGGGCCTGGCACTTGGTCAGGCTGGCTCTGATGTAAAGCTCAGCTTCCCGGCTGGGCAGCAAGAAGGTATGTCAGCGATCTAATTGAGAAATGTTCCTGGAAAGGGATTTGGAGCTCGAAATATCTTGCTGCTAGGACCTGGAAGCTCCCCAAAGGTGGGATACAGGCCCTGGACCCCCCAGTCTCTGGACAGAGCTGGAACAGGGAAGGAGTGGAGCACTGGCTGATTGGTCAGCGGAAGGATTTCTTCTGTGTGCTGGGTCTTTGAGTGCACGGGGTGGGCAGAGTGACGAATGTGGGCATAACTGAGGTTTTGAACCTCAACTGGAGACCTGGGTAGTGCGATGTGGTTGTCCCTCATCTATGTACTTGCTGGTGACAGTGGTGTCTGTATTGAAGGAGGCGTGAAGCTCTCTGGCCGACAGGCCCATGCATGGAGGTGGCACTGAGAGCTACAAGCTCCAGTCAACGATGTCACCTGTGTCCCAGGACTTTAGGTAGCAGCTGACCATCGCCCTCGACGAGGTCACTGCAGGGCTGCGTCTGGGAAGTGCCATTTGATCTGTGTCCCCACAGTGGCAACATTCACCAGATCTTCTATCATTTGGGTCTAATGCCATCTGGTCAGACAGGGATCCCAAGCAGGACTGAAGTCCTAGTTACAGGACATTCACAGCTATGCCTTCTTGGCACCTCTGACTACAGCTAGCCAGGCGTGTGCTCAGCCTGGCTGGCTCTCTCTTCTGTCCCCACTCCTGGGCCTGTGTCCTCAGGACTTTGTGTGGACCTGAGAGTCAGACACCATTTTCATTCCTAGTAAACCCCTGGAAGAAGCTGGAACTGGGAGGGTGTGAAGCAGTCGAGGTGGGTGGGTGAAGGAGACACTCATCCTCCTGTGTTTCTATGTGGTCAGAAATGTCCAGAAAGAACAGATTTTTATGGAAAAAAGTTTTGGGAATAGAAAATCTATATTACAAAAGTACAATTCTACTGTGTCCTCTTTTCCCAAATGTTGTCACTGAGGCCATTCTCAACCCTGATGGAGAAACTGAGGGAGCCTGCACCCTAGTCTACCACCCTCACCCTGCCTTCTAGACTGCAGCTGACCCCCTTCAGACAAGCCCCATGCTCCTGTGCATTATATATTAAAATCCTGCTACAATCCCATCTCAGCACTTCCAGCTTAAGGCAGAGCAAGAACCTCTCTAAGCTGGGGGGAAAAATGCTACGTGGAGCAAGAAGTGAAAGACAGAAACTTCACGGGTCTGGCAGGTGAAGCGGAGACTAGAACCAGGCTCCCCCAGCTCTCGACTCAGGGAGACCCACCTGTCCTCCTTGGACTCGGCAATTACGGTGATGAAGGATGTGGCGTCTTCCATGGCGTCAAAATACTCAGTATCTTCATCTTCCTCACTGTCCTCTCCTTTGGGAGTCAAGAGGCTTCCTGGAGACACACGGGGGCCAGGAGCAGAGTTTGCAGTTTCAACACAGACACCTCACCTGTCAGAGGTAACCTGGAGCCCAAAGGGCCTGTCCTGCCAGTCTGAATAGCTGTCCCCACCCTCGGCTCAGCCCACACACAGGCTCCCTGCTGACAACACCTGGCCCTGACTACCCTCATAGGCTCCCTCCACATTCATTCTTGTAGCTGTAGCTCAGATGCCTCCTCCACGAAGCCTTCCCTGTTCTCTCCAGGTGGGTGGATTCCTGTCAAGCTACCTTTTCTGATGAGGAACCAGCTTGCTCACCGCCCAAGAGTAGGTGGTAGCCACCCAGCACCTGGCCTCCTTGTCACAGAGGGGACAGTTGGGCTCGTCTAACTTTTCTTGGGAGGGTTTGAATCCAGATCCAGAGAGACGGCTGGCTGTGTCAGGCTGCAGTGGACAAGCCCAGGGGGTATATGTGCTGGAGGGCCCAAGGGCAGTTGTCTGAGCAGTGAGGGGCCAGGGGCTGGTGGGCGTGCCGGGGCAGCAGGCGCTGCTCACCCTCGCTGAGGCTCTTGGAGGGGTTGGTGGGCCGTCCGGGGGCGCTGCGGAAGGCCCGCTCGAGGCTGTTGTGCTGTCTGGCTAGCTGCTCGATGGTCTCCTCCAGGTGGATGCGCTGCTCGTGTTCATACTGCAGTGCTCGCTGCCATTTCCGGCTGTGAGACTCGGCTAGTTCCAGGAAGTCCCTGCAAGCCTGGGGGTGGGGGCGGGGGCAGGGCATGGTGAGGGGCCCCTCCCAGCATCCTCCTCCCTTGCCAGCACATGCACTGCCACCCTACACCCCTGTGAGGCTCTGAGACATTTCCAGTGGGCCCAGGATTAAGCATCAGCAGCATGGTCTCTGGGGAGCACTCAGCCTGGGGTGCTGTCTGGGGGCTGGAGGCCCCCTGGGGTGCTGCTATCACAGCTGGCATGGAGCTGCTCCAGTGCTTTCCTCTGCCCTGTCCCAACTGCACAATGGCCTGGGGTTTTATCACTGACCCCTGTCCTGCTACTGATACCAAAGGCACCCCTAACAGCTCAGACTAAGCCCCTGACTTTGGAAGGAAGGAGCACCCCTTCCTGCTTCACTCCCCAGCTCTGAGCGCTACCTGAACCTTACCCTCTCCCGCACCATCCTCATGATACACTCAAACCCATCATTATAGTCACTGCCTTAATCCACCGTCTCTGGTTCTTCCTCTTCCCCTGACCCTCCACCTTTCCCAGCACAGGAAGGGAGACCCTCTATGAGTTGGAATGACTTAGTGACCAGGATAGTAGAAGTAGTATAGTATAGTATAGTATAGTATAGTATAGTATAGTATAGTATAGTATAGTATAGTATAGTATAAACCAGGATAGTGGAAGTAGAGGCCACATGGCTGTCTCTGTCTCCCATACTTGAAGGGCCTGTCACCCTTGACCACACGGCTGTCTCCCATACTTGAAGGGCC